GAGAGAGAGAGAGAGAGAGAGAGAGAGAGAGAGAGAGAGAGAGAGAGAGAGAGAGAGAGATGGTGTGGGTGTGAACGGAAGTCTGGCGCTTTTCACACACACAAACACAAATAGACACACAAATAGACACAAAACAGCCGCACACACGCACACAGCAGTTTTCACTTTTGTGCGCCCTCGTTGTGTCTGTGGGGCATGTGGTGAGTAAGCGAGGGCCCATTTGTTTAAAATGAGAACAAATCGAAGGTTTAGAACATCGAAAGAGACATCGCCATTTCATCGGAGGTTTCAAAACCGAGCAAAGGTGTAATCATGCGCACGTCACACACAGATAGAAAGAAGAGCATCACAAAAAGAGAGAACTACCATTCATCTAAAGAAGAAGAACATGGGCATGGCATACAAGGACAAGCTTGAGATGTTTCGAAGAAGATCGAAGGTGTGATCATGCCCAAGCTTCACACAGATATTTGACACATTGCGAGAAAAGAACTGAATTTCATCACCGAAGCGGTCGTAGCCATCGATCGTTTTTTCTTACAACAATATCTGTGTGAAAAGACGATCGATCGACTTTTCTTACAACAGATATTAGACACATTGCGAGAAAAGAACTGAATTTCAATATTGTTGCCCTCCCTCTTAACATCTGTCTACTCCTCCAAACCCCTTCCCCATCCCGCCCTCCATTGCAAGAAAAGAACTCAGAGGCAGATGGTGCCATGCTGCGGAAAGAATCCCTGGAGGGCGGGATGGGGAAGGGGGTTGGAGGAGTAGACGGATGTTAAGAGGGAGGGAGAGGGGGAGTGGTGCTGAAGGGGATGGAAGGAGAAGAGGTCCTATGTTTTGCTGTTGCTGTGATCCTTATCGTGTGCCAAGAGTGGGGACCACCAGCAGATCCAAATGAGGGGATGGCTCTGCTGCAGCCACATAGCAGCGTCATCAGAGGGGGTAACATCATCACCGTGAGATTTCGATGGAGGCGTTAAGCAGGAGTGCTTATAGGCTTTGCAGACTGGGTGTGCTTATATGCTGAGGCCCGTGTTAGGGTGTGGATGTGTGTGTGTGTGTGTGTGTGTGTGTGTGTGTGAGAGAGAGAGAGAGAGATGTCTCTTATACACATCTAGATGTGTATAAGAGACAGGCGTGTGTGTGTGTGTGTGTGTGTGTGCTGTCTCTTATACACATCTAGATGTGTATAAGAGACAGGAGAGCGAGAGAGAGAGAGAGAGAGAGAGAGAGAGAGAGAGAGAGAGAGAGAGAGAGAGAGAGTTGCATATGGTGCATGTTGCCATGTTCCAGCTGATTTTTTTATTTTTTATTTTTTACATAGAGCCCCGCCACTACTTACCACATGCGCTGTATCTTGCCGTGTTCCAGCGGAAGATTCCTTTTCAGAGGGCCTGGATCTGCTGTATCTTGCCATGTTCCTGCTGAAGATTCATTTACCGAATGCAACTGCAGGGCCTGGATCTGCTGAATCTTGTCATGTTCCTGCTGAAAATTCATTTACCGAATGTAACTGCACGGGGCACGGGTCGTTGCATTTGGTAAATGAAACTGCAGCTGGAACATGGCAAGATACAGCATATTATGTGGTAACCTTCCTCTCGGGCCAGGTTATATCTTAAAAAAAAAAAAGAAAGACAAAACAAAAACAAAAAAAAAACTCGTCCCAGCTATCGCTCTTGCTTGTATTGCAGACTCGAATACCAGATGGCTGCCAATCTTCAGTGTTCTCTGCAAAGTTCAAATCGGAAGAGAGAGGGCCTTATGACAAAAAGATATGGAGGTGTATCTTGCCATGTTCCAGAGGAAGATTCATGCAACTGCATAGGGCCTGGGTCTACTACTTGATACATGTGCTGTATCTTGCCATGTTCCTGCTGAAGATTCATTTACCAAATGCAACTGCAGTTGCATTCCGTACTAAATGAATCTTCAGCAGGAACATGGCAAGATACAGCATCCAGACAGGCGGCAGTAGAGACTCATGTAGGAGAGAAATTTCGAAATTGCTATGATGCCCCGCAACACACACAAAAAAAAGGGAGACTGATCAGTCGATCCGGACGATTGCTTCCTGCATGTAGACCATACACCACACCAGCATCCTCAAAGACAGTGGCTGTTCGCAGTCTCCTTTTTTTTTGTTGGGGGGGGGAGGATCATGGCAATTTCGAAATTTCTCTCCTACATGAATCTCTGCTTCCGCCTGTCTGGATGCTGTATCTTGCCATGTTCCTGCTGAAGATTCATTTAGTACGGAATGCAACTGTAAGTGCATAGAACCTGTAGCCGGGATCTCATAGTTCTTTGCGTCCACACCCTCCGGAGCGGTTCTTTGCATCCTTTCTGCATCTCGTAATTCTTTGCATCCGCACCCTCCTTCTCCTCCTCTAACCCCTTTGTTGATCATTGACGACGACGTTTGTGAAAATAAACAAAGAGGTTAAGAGGAGGAGGAGGAGGGTGTGGACTCAAGGAAGTTGAAGGAACTACAAAATGCAGAAAGAAGGAGAGGATGGAGGAAGAGGAAATGAAGGAGGAGTACTTGGGGAAGACAGGACATTAAGGGAGAAAAGGAGTTAAAGATTGTGACATGACTTTTCTTTTTTGCCACGTCACTGCTGCCGTTCTTACCAAACGTCAGGAATGCACGAACCCGCGAGGCTGTTGAAGGGAGATAACCACACACACACACACGACGAAACAGTCTGGTACAGTCATGCTTTTTTTTTAGTGTATAGCGAATATGACAACACACCCAGAGAGAGAGAGAGAGAGAGAGAGAGAGAGAGAGAGAGTTCAAAGGATTGGCGGGCAGTGCGATCTCGGAGATGGTGATGTGGCAAAGAAGGAGAACTTGGAGGAAAGGCGGGGGAGAAGGAGTTGGAGATGGGGAAGTTTACCAGGGTGAAGCTGCGGCGATGAATGAAGCTGCTGAACATAACACGAGGCAACGGTCGAGAATAATGGAGGAAAACTGCCACACGTATGGGCCTGGGTATTGCACAAAGTTGCCCACAAACCGGGTAAAACAGGGTGCAGGCGCAGGCCGCAACGCGCGAGGTCCAAATTGCAAATTTGCACACGGGCCTGATAGGGGCAAAAAGCAAAGAATTGGGCCTGAAATGGCATTCCACTCTACCCACATCTTTTAGGGGCATTTTGGCATATATCTGAACTGATGGACTTACCGTGAGGGCACGGGTGCGCAGCCCGTAGTTTGTTTGTTGATGTGGTTGGGGAAGGGTAAGGTAGTGATTATTCTGTGCGTCTGCTTTGTCATGTTCGCTATACACAACTCGAAGAGTGTGTGTGTGTGGGGTCTCGGTTGGCGCTTGATTCACGGTGTTCATGGGATGCTGGACCCAGTTTCCAGCATGTGGCGCTCCCACCAATAGACAGGAGAATGTGTGATGATGTGTGTGAACACATATTGCGGAAGCCTCTGCACAGTAAAAACCATGCGCCATACCACCACAATACTTCAGGAGGAAAATACGCATCTGAGTGGAGTCGAGTCCAAAGGCAAGGAAGGGACAACAACGAAACACACAGGCGACAGACACGAAGACAACACATAGGCTGGAGGGCATGGGGGAGGAGGGAGGGCAGACATCACACAAGCAACAGACACGGCAAGGGCTGGAGGGCACAAGGGATATAGGACGGCATACAACAGCACGCACACAAAGCAGACAAATCAGAAAAAAAAATGAAGTCCATAAAAGTTTCAAGGACTGAAAAAATTAAAAACTGATGATGAAAGATTGTTTCGTCAGAGTTGCACCGACTCATCAGGAGGCTGAACCCTCGACAATCTGCAGGAATCTCCGTACTAGATGGTTTGGGTCATGAACCCTTTGACCCTTGTTGAAGGCAGACTGTCCCCAAGCGGAACATAGCAGTGGGCGGCGACCCTGTGGAGCACCAGGCAGCACAGTAGAGGCAACACGGCTGCACAACGCCAAAAACGACTGCAAGGAAAGACATGGCACGCAGCGCGGAAACACGGAAGGCACGGCAGCGGAGCAGCGAATTGCAAGGCAACACCGACAACACAGCCACACCACACAGCGAACACAACAACTTGCAGAGAACCACATGCAAAGCAAGCGGGACAGGCAGCAAGGCGGCGGTGGTGCACAGACGAGGCAGTCCACACATCCAACACGGAGCAAAGCAGCACATCACCTACTCACATCACGGGTGAATCCCACAAACTGTTGGTTCCCACCACCCACTGAGCCAGGGAAACACTCCGACGAGCATCCGTCATCACCTACAGGCAACACAGACATCCCGAACTGAGCGGCCCCCATAAGAGTGCAGTAGGCACTCCAAACGAGGAACCACCGACTGTTTGGCACCACTTAAGGGTGCTCAGCTTGGGCAAGCAAAAACACAGAGAAAAAGATCAGGGGGAGGACAGACAACAACAGGAAAGCAGACAAACATAAAACTGATTGTGTGTGTGTGTGTGTGCGTGTGTGTGTGTGTGTGTGTGTGTGTGTGTGTGTGTGTGTGTGAGAGAGAGAGAGAGAGAGAGAGAGAGAGAGAGAGAGAGAGAGAGAGAGAGAGAGAGAGAAGCAGCATGCAGCATGTCAGTGGCGGGGAGCACAAGGGCAGGCGCTGATCTCCCAAAAAAAAGAACGAGTTCAGTTCTATTTTTTGAAATTTGAATAGAAAGTGTACACGTTGTATTCGAACACAACGTGTACAAGTTCTATTCGAAGTGCGCTTCTATTCGAGAAAAGTGGATCCACACCATTTCGATTTCGGCCTCCTACTCAATGACCACTCGGCCTCCAACTGGAGGACCGCTCAGCCGCGTATGGGCAGCTACCGGTCCTTCGCATGCCTCGCCCCTTGCTAAGCCCTTACCTCAAAATTGCCCACGCTCCCGAATGACCACCAATGTTTAAATTTCAATGACGTTGATCTTGGAAGTCTCAGGGGGATAAAACCTAACCCTGATGGCGGGCAGGGGTAACCCAAGAACAGGAAAAGAAAGAGGAAAAGAGAAACAAAATAAGGAAAAGTTTCGAAATGCCCCTCCGACTTCCATTTCGTAGGTTATGCCCCTCCAACGGCCGACTTACCCTGTCTTGCCCCTGGGGCCTCTGACAGTGAATGGTGCAACTTTCCAGCATGCCCCTGTGGCCGTTGGTGGCACTCGCTGCCGTTCCCCTGGCCCTGGGAGGGGAGCTACCGGGGCATACTGGAATTTTGGAACCGGTATCGGTAGGGGCATATTGAACACATTTCAGGCTCAAACGACCCGCGGGGTTTTTCCGAAACTTCAATCGTTGTCAGAGACGCACGACTGTAAGTCGGCCGTCGGAGGGGCATACCCCAAACAAATGGAAGTCGGAGGGGCATTTCGAAAATTTCCCAAAAACAAAGCCTGCAATCTCGTAGGTGGTGAGAGCACACTCAGGATTTCACAGATTTCGAAAAAAGGGAAAAAAAAAAGAAAAAGGATTTCACAGATTTCACACGCCTTTGCCGTTCTTACCACCTAGGGGCCGTCGCAGCGCCCGCGCGTTTCTCAGGGCACACTCACAGTAGGACCTTTTGTTCTATGCTCTGGACGTGATTGCGGTCAGATTCGTCCGGGTCTGGCTGTAATTGCAGTTGGATACATTTAGGAAAGTCCTCATGTTAGAATGCCCTCAGTTTTGCTCCGAAGCGTTCCTGGCGGGCCTCAGTTTCGCCCCTAAGCTTTCGTGTCATATACGCTGGCCAGACACCTTGCACGGGTCGCTGCAGGTTCAGGTTCTTCTGTCCCGTAAGTCTCCCAGGAGTTGTCTTCTCCTCGTCCTCTTCCTCCTCTCTACTGTCGTCC